AAAATATAAGCATTATGTTATAAAATATAAAACATTTATGTAATTATAAATTTAATAAAAGCAATGAAATATATAATGAAACATATTATATACATAAATATATAATAAAATATATAAATATAATATATATAATATAATAAAAATCAATTATACTCCATTTAAAGTTATTATCAGGACTTCCCTGGCAGTCCACTGATCAAGACTTTGCCTTCAAATGGAGGGGGTGAAGGTTCGATCCCTGGTCTAGGAGCTAACATTTCAGTCCTGGCGAAAAAAGTCAAAACAGAACACAGAAGCAACGAAACGGTGTAACAAATTCAACTATTACTTTCAAAATGGTCCACATCAAAAAAAAAAAGTCTTTAAAAAATAGTGGCTGTGTTATATGAACCCTGCCGAAATTGAACATGTAGGAAGGCCATCATTAATTCAGTGACTTTATGGTGTATATTTCTCCAACGTGAGTAAACCATTGAGGCTCTACTGGCTTCCTCGGAGGAAATGTGTTAAATCCTTGGAAAATAGGCTAGGGGTGGCACCCTTGAAAAAGCCACAGTGCACTCATGAGTATTGTGGGTTTTCTGTTTGCGTACTCCAAGAACAGAGGTGTGTTTGCTAGAGTGCCATACTGACGGATGTAAGTCAGACACAGAAGGAGAAGTGTCCTATGACATTCCTTATGTGTGGAATCTAAACATGATATAGCTGAACTTACTAAACAGAAACAGACTCACAGACTTAAGAGAGTGAACTTATGGTTGCTAGGGAGGAAGGCTGGGGAAGGGATAGTCAGGGAGTCTGGGATGGACATGGACACACTGCTGTGTTTAACGTGCAGAACCAGCAAGGACCTGCTGTCCAGCTCAGGGAACTCTGCTCAAGACTCTATAATAACCTGATGGTCACCAGGGGGAAGGATGGGGGAAGGGATAGTCAGGGAGTCTGGGATGGACATGGACACTCAGCTGTATTTAACATGGAGAACCAGCAAGGACCTGCTGGACAGCACAGGGAACTCTGCTCAATGTCATGCGGCAGCCTGGATGGGAGGGGAGTTTGCGGGAGAAAGGATGCGTGTACATGTATGGCTGAGTCCCTCTGCTGTCCGCCTGAAACTGTGACAACAGTGTTAATTGCGCTGTACCCCAATACAAAATACAAAGTTTAAAGTTAGGAAAAAAAAAAAAAAAGGGTGTTTGCAGGGACTTTCAGTATTTTGAGTAATACCTTGAGATCCTGGGCTTCCCTGGTGGCTCAGCTGGTAAAGAATCCGCCTGCAATGCAAGAGACCCGGGTTTGATCCCTGGGTCAGGATGATCCCCTGGAGAAGAGAAAGGCAGGCCACTCCGCTGTTCTAGCCTAGAGAATTCCAAGGACTGCATAGTGCATCGCAAAGAGTTGGACACAACTGAGCAACTTGCACTTTCACTTGAGATCCTAGATGCNAGGATGATCCCCTGGAGAAGAGAAAGGCAAGCCACTCCGCTGTTCTAGCCTAGAGAATTCCAAGGACTGCATAGTGCATCGCAAAGAGTTGGACACAACTGAGCAACTTGCACTTTCACTTGAGATCCTAGATGCTAAAATTGCCCTCTTCCAAAAGACCTGGATGATGCTCCTGAAACCATTTAGCTGATGTTTGCCTTCATAGGCAGTTTCTAGGGCACTTGACTCCTGTATGCTAAGTGTTATTTGACTCTCTGAGCAAATGTGACTAACTTCTTTCATGACAAACCAATGCTAATGTGTTATGTACAAGTTTTGGATGCCATCAAAGTATACTACGAGAGACATAGGATTTGGTTACTTTTTGGAGTGTGATTTGAAGAGAAAAACAGAATCACTTGGCATTATGCATTTCAGAAGTCCATTGTTACACTTAGAACAACTCAGGTGTCCCAGAAGCCACATATCTGCACCACATTCCTCCAGCTTCCTGTTGGAAACACTCTTATCTGAAGTCTGTGTAATCCATCCCATTTTCCTTTTTTTTTTTTCACCCTAAGATCCTTGAAAACCTGGCACAAAGATTGTCTCAAATTCGAAATAATTGCTGTTTTCCCTTTCTTAACAGACTGACATTTCTTTAATGGATGTAAGCTTTATTATTTCCACGCTTTTTATTATAAACTACATAGAATGATTTCTACCAAAATCTCACACCACTTAAGTTTTTAGCAGTCTACTCTTAGGAAACCTTTTCTGTTATTATAGATCATTTGCTATTTAACTATTTGCATTTACCATAAAAGTAGAATGCTATTAGAATGATTGTTGAAAACCCATTTGCAAAACCTTTTTGTTTTAAAAGTAAGGTGGTTAGAAGAGGCGCCATAAATTATGCTTTTCGTCTGAAAGCAGTGAAGAGTCACTATGAATTTCAAGTATGCCTGCTTCACGGAGAATAAGGGGAATAGTCCAGAGAGGGCCAGCATAAATGATTGACGATTAAAAGATACCTGCGACTTATTTTTTTTAATATTTATTTACTTATGGGTGTGTCCCGTCTTAGTTACAACATGGGAGATCTTTAGTTGCAGTGCACAGTCTCGTTACTGCAGTGTGTGGGTTCTCCCGAGCTGTGGTGTGTGGTCTCCAGAGCTTTGTATAGTTTCTGGGACCCGGGCCTCTCTCCTTGAGGTGCCTGGGCTCAGTACTTGTAGAACACACGAGCTTATTAATTCATCCACTTGATGGGGGATCTTACTTCCCCGACCGGGGATTGAACCTCCAGCCCTCTGCACCGCAAGGCGTATTCTCCACCACTGGAACCACCAGGGAAGTCCCAGGACGCTTGCACTTTAACCTTCACATGATGCATTTTTTCCAGGGCTGAAGTCACCTCTCTGCTACCATCAACTCTGGACTTGGATGTTTGTGGAGAGCAGGCATTCACAGAGGACTAGTCACCAAGACGATAAACAGGCTCTGTTGACTTGGCAGTGACTTTAGCATAACTAGCATAACGATAATAGAGGATTATTTTTGGAAAAAAAAAAATCTAAGTACACATAGAGATATTTTCCCTTGCTCTCCGAAGCATATAATTTGTACACATATCTCCTCCTTCTTAAACCTCCCACCCCTCCAGGTCATCACAGAGCAGCGAGCTGAGTTCCCTGTGCTATACAGCAACTTCCCATTAGCTATCGGTGTTACACACGGTCGAGTGTATATGTCGGTGTGTGTGCTATGTGTATATGTCAGTCTATATGCCGTGTGTATATGTCAGTCTATATGCTGTGTGTATATGTCAGTCTATATGCCATGTGTATATGTCAGTCTATATGCCGTGTGTATATGTCAGTCTATATGCCGTGTGTATATGTCAGTCTATATGTTGTGTGTATATGTCAGTGTATATGTTGTGTGTACATGTCAGTGGTACTCTCTCTGGTCACGCCACGCTCCCCTTCCCACGCGATGTCCACAAGTTCTTTTTTTATGTCTGAGTCTCACTTCCTGCCCTGCAAATAGGTTCCTCTGTACCATTTTTTCTACATTCTGCATACATGCATTGATATGATCCAGCAGTCCCACTACTGGACATATACCTTGAGAAAACCATAATTCGAGATGACGCATGCACTCCAGTACGCATTGCAGTACTGTTTACAGTAATCAGGATACGGAAGCGACCTGAATGTCCATCAATAAATGAGGGGATAAGGAAGATCTGGTGCATATATGTTGCTGTTGTTTTAGTCACTAAATCGTGTCCAGCTCTTTTACGACCCCATAGACTGCTGCCCACCCGGCTCCTCTGTCCATGGGATGCTCCAGGCAAGAATACTGGAGTGTGTTGCCATCCCCTTCTCCAGAGGATCGTGCCAACCCAGGGATAGAATCCATGTGTTCTGCATTGGCGGGCAGATTCTTTACCAGTGGGCCACCTGGGAAGCCTGTGGTACATATATACAATGAAATATTGTTCAGGCATAAAGAGGAACAAAATTGGGTCATTTGTAGTGATGTGTAGTGATGTTTAACTCTTGTTATACAAAGTGAAGTAAGTCAGAAAAAGACAAGTATTGTATGAAAGTGAAAGTCACTCAGTTGTGTCTGACTCTTTGCGACCCCCTGGACTATACAGTCCGTGAATTCTCCAGGCCAGAATACTGCAGTGGGTAGCCGTTCCCTTCTCCAGGGCATCGTCCCAACCCAGGGATCAAACCCAGGTCTCCCGCATTGCAGGCATATTCTTTACCAGCTGAAACACCAGGGAAGCCCAAGAATACTGGAGTGGGCAGCCTATCCATTCTCCAGGGGATCTTCCCGACCCAGGAACTGAACCGGGGTCTCCTGCATTGCAGGCGGATTCTTTATCAGCTGAGCTATCAGGGAAGCCCAAGTATTGTATATTAGCACATAAATGTGGGATTCAGAACAGTGGTCCTGAAGTGCAGACTTTTTCCTCAAGTAGAACATGCTCCATCACAGGTTGAGCTGGACCAGTCCCACTGTCAGTTCAGCCGTGCTGAGGCTGAGGTTGCAGGTGTCTCTGGGGCGATCTGGTGGTTGGCATCAGACACGCCTCCAGGGCCTAATCCCACCTGCCCAGTTCTCCTCTCATCTTTATTGTGACTCTTTCCAGCTACTGTAAGAGGGCCCTC